GACTGAGAAACAGAAGCAACAGGGTGTGTGTGTGTGTGTGTGTGTGTGTGTGTGTGTGTGTGTGTACAAAATAAGGAATTGGCTCACACAAGGATGGAGACCGAGAAGTGCCGAGACCTATAAGCTGGAGACCCACCAGAGCCAATGGTGGGGTTCCAGCCCGAGTCTGAGGCCTGGAAACCAGGAGGGCTGATGGTGTAAGTTCCAGTCTGACAGAAGGTGGGCTTGAGACCCAAGAAGAGCCAAGTTTCAGCTTGAACCCAAAGGCTTTAAAGATGGATGCCCCAACTCAAGCAGTCAGGCAGGAGGGGCTTCGTCTTTCTGTTCTTTTCAGGTCTTCAACTGATGGGATGAGGCCCACCCGCACTGGGGAGGGCAATCTGCTTTCCTCCGTCTACTGACTGAAATATTAATCTCACCCAAAACACCCTCACAGACACATGCAAAATAACGTTTGACCAAATAAATGTCTGAGCATCCCGTGGCCCAGTCAAGCTGACACAAAATTAACCATCACTTCTTGCTTGACTCTGATTTGCCCATTCTTCCCAGACAGCCAAGAAGGGGTTGGAAGGAGTTTAAAACCTGGTGACAGGCACAGACTCTTCACTAGGCAACTGCCTTTTGGCTCTTTCCTTAATAAGAGTGAACATGAGCAGGGGACTATCTTCTATCTGTGGGACAAAAGACCAGGGAGAGAGCAATGACTCTGAAGATAAAGAGCAAATAGTTCGAGATTTAGTTACTAGGACAGGCACACGTAACTGCCTGAAAGTAACTGTCCTTCAATGCCTTTAGTACAAAGATAGCTGTTACACACACACACACACACACACCATGAGACACCTATCCAGGAGAAAAAGCTTATCCAGAGATTAAGCCCTTTGGGTATAATGGAGCCAGTGCTAGAAGAAAGGAGATTCTCAAATAATAATAATAATAATAAATCACAGGCTCATATAACGCAGCCCTTGTGAAGCCAGAATTATAAGTCAAGTCTTTGGCCAGGGCTGTAGTCAGCTCCAAGTTGAATTAATGTAGGATCCCCTTCCAAGCTCACTCGTGTGGCTGCTGGCAGGCCTCGCTTCCCTACCATGTGGCCCTGCCCACAGGCTGTCCTGAGTGTCTTCACAAGGCCACTGGCTGCCCGCTCCCCAGGGCTGACTCACACCAAGGCAGCTATAGCCTCCTCCCCTCCAGCCCCCCGGCAAGCAATTCAGGAGAGAGAGAGGAAAAAAAAAAGAGAGATAGAGAGAAAGAGAGAGAGAGAGAGAGAGAGAGAGAGAGAGAGAGAGAGAGAGAGAGAGAACGCGCACACCCAAGACAGAAGGTAAAGATCTGGGAAGTTAGACCTCCTCACTTCTGCTGTATTCTGTTCACTAGCCCACACTCAAGGGGAGGAGAATGAAGCTTCATCTTTTAAAGAAAGGAGAATAAAAAAAAATTGTAAACAGATCTTTAAAACCACCACAGGGACTAAAAGAATTACTGAGGGGAAAAAGTAGCTGGATAAACTATTAATTAAGACATCAATGGCTGTTTTATTCTCACTGTATTCCCCAATCCCCAAGAAGATAGCCCTTGCCTCGGGGGAGGTTTGTGTTTGTTTTCTGAAAATGTTAACTTCTCGAGGAGGTTATGCTGAGGAAAGGATGGAAAGACCGTGCCTTTGAGGGCAGAAAAAATGGAGTGATTTATCTGGGAAGGAGGAGTCTTTGGGACCCAGAGAAAGAGGGGGTCTGTAACTCCACTTCCCAGCAGTGTTCTAGCACAATAGCAAGTCCTCGGAGGGAAACGGGTATATGAGATGCTTGCTTATCTCAAATTATTTTAGTTTTTCTTAACAGTATTATAGTTTGTTCTGTACTAGGAAGGTCCTCAAAAGATAACTCAGCCCTAACTTATGTCTATCAAAAAGAAAGACTTAACAGCAACCATTCTAAAACAGAAATCACACATTTGGCAACTGTTTTCCAAAATGTAACAGGATACATATTTTAATAATCAACAACTCTACACAACAGACCAACTCAAAGAGATACTTACGGCTACATTTGGCAATTAATTCATTTGAAGTGCTCACCAGGAATTTATATCATTTGATATTGAGAATTTTTATGGCCACAGCATGCAATTGATAGTAACAACTGTAAAAAATTTCTGGCTACAGTCATTACATCCTTTCTCTATAATTAATTATTTTGTTCTTCAATGTATTTTTATTCATTTCAGAGCGGAAGGAAGACATAGATACATTAATGACGAGAGAGAATCATTGATCAGCTGCCTCCTGCATGCCCCACACTGGGGATCAAGCCTGTAACCAGGGCATGTGCCCTGACTAGGTATCAAACCAGTGACCTCTTGGTTCATGGGTCAACACTCAACTACTGAGCCACACCGGCCTGGCTATTGTGTATTTTCTATATGCCAGGCACTGTACTAAGCATTTTACAACTCTGTAAGTGTTTGAACTATTATTATTTCTATTATACAGATAAGGGCTCAGAAAGGTTTAACTTGCATATGATTTCACAACTTGCATTCAAATTCAATCCAAACGATTATATCTAAGTGTATGTAAAGGCTATCAGGGGATCGACAAGATAGAGCAGAGGAAGGAAAAGGTGAGGGTGGGGAAAGTCTGCAGGAGGATGAGACATCTAGCTACGACTTAAAGGAGGGAGTTTGCCAAGAAACGAGGAGGAAGTATTACAGAAAAAAAGAAAAAGTGTAAAAAAAAAATGCAGAGCAAAGAGGGAACATAAGTTCCAGAATGGCAAACAGAACATAGAGTTACATTAAGCAATTAATTCATCATCAAAGGTTCACCAGAAAATTGTCATTTAATACTAGACACTTACTAATAATAGGTCTGTTACTGAGACTTTCCATGGCCTGGTTTGGCTCAGTGGATACAGCGTCGACCTGCGAACCGAAGGGTCCCGGGTT